AAACCTGAACACAGATATCTGACTACTCTTCAAAGAGGAGGGAAGTGGTATTCAAAGCACAGCTTCATATCAGATGGATTCTGCTAATTCCTGTTTTATCAGAGTCACTGTGGTTACAGCTGCTAATGAAACACTGTGGGAGGATTCACATGAGCAGCAAATCCACATCAACCACAAACCAACACTTTATATCAGCATCAACAGTCAAGAGGAAACATCGTCGCTGTCTTTGGTCCTGAAATGGAAAGAATCTGAAATATAAATGTCGTGAAACTAAGGGGTTTCTGTGTCTCTGAGCTCAGGACACTCTGACAAAAGACATTCTTCATCTCCAGAATTTCACTTCCTGATTTAAGTTAACAATTCAGTATTAATTCTGACACACTGTGGCTTCTGATTCTGTGAAGTGTCTTCATCTTCAGCTCTGCATCTTTACTGCGGCTTTCATTTATAAATCATGAAACAGACAAAAAAAACTTTAGAAAGAGCTTTTTATAAGAGCAGGGTGAAAATCTACAACTTCCTAGTTTCACTTCTAAATCCTGAACAATCGAAATTAGTTGAACACAAAACAGAAGAACAAAAAGTGATACATGCTTTCCACAAATAAAAGACTCGTGTTGTCAGTGAGCACTACAGGATTTCTCAGCTTCAATATCTCAGGTCACAATCCAAATATCCGAGGTAGAGTAAAAACAAGGGAAAAATCACACAAAGATCAGAATATGACAGAATACAATGGAAACATTTCATACATCCAATTTTCCAACCAAGTTCAAATACACACACAAACTTAACTGATGGCAGTAAAAGGAAAACAAAGGCAGTCTAAGTCTGGAGGGAAAGAAGCTGCTTTAAAAACTAAGAGTTGCCGAGCAACGTCTCCACTCGTACCTTTTTTATTTACATTGTTGTGACAGAAAACTGCAGCAAACTCACAGAAACAACAGGAAACACTTCGGTTCATATTACACACATTTTTCTTCCAGAGTCTGTGAGAGCTGGAAAACACAGATTTCATAATAAAACAGAACAAATGAACTTCTTTCTACGGTCGGCTTTAACAATATCTTATATCATAAAACACCAACTTAATTCAGTGACAGTCCGTACATCCAATGGTACACTGCACAAACAAACTTAACACAATTCAAACAAAAATGACTTTGTGTGAGATTCATCATGTTTCACTGGAGAATAAAAACGCTCATCATGAGAGTGCCACAGTGTGACACAGAAGCGACACCGAGTCGTCTAAAGTTGCGTCTCTGCTGCACATGAGAGAAAATAAAAGTAATAACATATAAAATTGTCACATTATGTTGATCAGTAGCTTGTAGGGCAGTGAAATGATCAGATTTCAGCCTTGAATTTGATTTTGGCTTCCTTCTATGAAATGATGATCGTGGAACAAAACTGAAACTGTGTGCTCGACAAACAGAACACAAAAGCACATCAAGCACTTCCTGAATCACAGCTGTTCTCTGAAGGTTTCCTGAACTAGTCTGCACGAGTAACACTGTGTTAAAAGACACATAACAAAACTGAGCTGTCCTGTACAGCAGAGGGGGAGGAGCTTGTCGTTCAGCATCATACTCTGTTGTTTTGAAATACTTTGAATTTAATGGAAGAGATGTAATGAAGACGAAATCACGTGTGAAGAGTGCTTTAATCGCCTGAAAACAATCCACGAACTGCAGCACGACTGACGCACAAAGGCTAAAAAAAAAATAAAGAAATGGTTACTAACGTGAATTATCCGACATTGACTCGTCATGTCCACAATAAAGAAGGAGATACCTGCACTGCATGCAAAAGCACGCAGGGAAACATGGAGGGAGGTCAGAGCTGTCGAATACGTTACTGAGAGTTTCATCTACATCCATCATGCAGGTACAGTGAATGCAGGGAAAGACTTTATATTTAGTTTTAAGTGGATGCGCTTACATCAGGCTTGCACCATATCGGTCTGGAAAAGTGTTTTAAATTAGTTTGTTAATATATATATATTTTTTTTTTGGAATGTGGGTGAATAATATTAGGAATGTTGCATTATGGATGTAAAAGCAGTGTTATGTTTACATGCAGTAAATGCCTTTTGTCACTAAAATACATGAATAATCACAACAATTAATCATGATCACAATATTGATCAAAAAAATCAGGAGAATTATTTTTGCCAGAATCGTGCGGTCCTAAATCGACTCGCCAGTGCAAAAATCTCCACAACAAACAGTTTTGATCCTTTTGTTAGTCATATGTTGATACTCACAGCACCGCGGCTGTTCTCCTCACTGCAAAAACAATAGTTTTAACTCAGCTGCATCTTAGTCACCTACACTAGCCAAATGCTTTTTAATGGCCAACAGTCGTTTCATATTTATTTTACTGTTTGTTTGAGATCTGCTGCTGAGAAAGATTCATTTTCAATTTTAGATTTACATGTTTGTTCGATCACGGCTGCAGAAATGAGGATTAACTCTGCTGCAGACGCAATCTTTGTTTTCATCATGAAGAGGAGTGAGTGTGTGTTAAAGTGGGAAACACATTAGTCGAAATCTTACACTTTTTCTTCACCTACTGTTTCTGCTTTTACACACATATATATAAAAAACATAAATAACTGTAAAGTTAAAAATCAGACAAATGTTAGTTCCTAATACTGTTTTACCTTCATATGTTCACAGAATGAGATCATTCGTCATCTGAACTAAAGACATGTTAAGTGCCAGTATGGATATGGGACTCTACTTCCCGCCTCCTATTTTCCCATTTCTGAAACAGACGTGAGCATCTACAGTGTTCATACTAAGTGCTATCGTCTACAGGCTGCTGTTGAATAGCAGAATATCAGAAGACTACAAGTAAGCTATTAGGTTAGCGCCGGTTCACATCACTACATCTTAATATACATAAATCTGCATCATCACCGGTGAGAGCCGAGAACACGCAGAAAAACTGACATTTAAATTGCGATGTTTTTTTGTTTACCAGATTTCATTATTTCATCACATTTATGGAACATATATGAGCTTTTGAGATCAGTCATGACCTTAATTTCAGACTTTTAAAGACCTTTTATTGAGCAGCAGGAAGTGTGTAAAGCCAGCTCTGATTGTGAAAGCTTTACTGTTAACGAGTTCGATACTTTTGTCAAGCTCGGCTTCATAAATACACCGTTCCCTGCTAAATATTCAGAACTAAAACTTTTTCCCTGCGTGAGTTTTCATGTGGACTACCAAACCACCTCTTTGGGTAAAACTTTTCCCACATACTTTGCAAGTGTACGGCTTCTCACCGGTGTGAATTCTCACGTGCACCAATAAAGTACATTTTTTAGTGAAACTTTTCCCACATGTTTTGCAAGAATACGGCTTCTCTCCTGAGTGGATTCTCATGTGGACCAACAAACTGCCCCTTTGAGTGAACGTTTTCCCGCACGTTGTGCAAAAAAATGGATTTTCACCTGTGTGCACCGCCTTGTGCTTTTTAAGTGCTAATAAGTAACAAAATCTTTCACCACAGGTGTTACAGGTATACGGTTTCTCACCCGAGTGGGTCCTCATGTGAACCAACAGACTACCGCCTTGAGTAAAACTTTTCCCACACGTTTCACAAAGATAGGGCTTCTCGCCTGTGTGGATTCTGTGATGTTCGTGTATTTTGTATTTATTCTTAAACAATTTTCCACAAACATTGCATGTTACCGACTTTTTACCAGTGTTACACTGACCCTCTGACGTGGGAGAGTCTTCTGCATCGGTACTGTGACTTCTGTTTGCACTATGTGCTGATCCTAAATCTACATAGTTACTTCCTCCCTGATCTTGACCCTCAGCTATCAGGAAGCTGTGAGAGAGGAGCTGCTCCCTGTCTGGTCCTGGTTCACCGTGGGCTCTTTCCTCATAAGCAGCAGTCACCATAAAGGTATCAATGTCCTCCTTCAGTGCAAGCTGCTGTCCCTCCTGACTGCTGTAGAAATCCTCCTGTTCATGTTTGATCTGGAGAGGCTCTGGTTCCCCGCGGTTCTCCTCATTACAGAGCTGCTGGTTAATGAGAAATTCCTCCTCCTTATAGACATGCTGCTGCTGGAGGCCTAGAGCGAAGCCAACATAAAGAAAACTGATGTGATGACAG